TCTCTTATGTAAATCTTAGCTACAGTACATCAGCTAATACTTTACTCCTCAGAACAGTACAATATGTTCACACTAGCCTTTGCAGGGTTATATTTAGGTTTCATTCCCATTTGAGGCTTTTTGGCTACATCTGATCAGCTCATCAGGACTCTTGTAATGTTTTATATTGGTTCTTCTTTCTATACCTGACTGATATGCTTCTTATGTGGTTGACTGTGAATATTTTTCCTGCACTCGGGTCTCTTAAAAGGAGATCTTGACGTCAATGATTCTGCTAAATAACATTGCATAAAAATAAGGTATGATACGAGACATGTAGGTGCACAGCTTTGCAGCCAAGTGAACAGACTTCTAGTAAAGATTGACGAGTCACTCTTTGTGGTTTTTCCTGGAAGCAGTTTTGAAATTGAGAAAACAGCGTTTGGCAACAATGATAGAGATTACAAGAAAAAAACAAATTAGAGAGGAAAAATGGAAAAAATCTCTCCAAATGCTTCTTTTCTTTCCAAGTACTCCTTAGTTTAAAATGTCTATTATATTGACATATCCTTGCTGAACTATTAAAGTCTACCCATAGGAACTCTTGCCTTCTTCCAGTCATAGTGCAAATGAGCTGAGGCAGGCAGGTCTATATATACATGTTCAGTTAATCAGACAATAGCACAGCTGTCTATTATCAGTTAAACAAGAGCTGCATTAACAACACTCCACCTCCAGATGAATTTGATTAGCCAGACAATCTAGTCAATTGACTCTGCGTGTGAGTGGACATCTCTGTATTACACCTACTTAAAAAACACCACCAACAAGAAAGAAATTAAAAAACATTCAACATTAGCCCTGCGAAAGACTGCCGACCTGTCTAGGTGTCCCCGCCTTTCCCCTGAGTCAGCTGGGTTAGGCTCCAGCCCTCCGTTACCCTAGTGAGGATTAGTGTATAGATAGTGGAAAACATTCATGCAAAATTCATGCATTCATGCTACACTTAGAGACAGACAACCAAGCACACTCACATTCACACCTATGGACAATTCAGAATCACCAATTAACCTCAACATGTTTTTGGACTGTGGGAGGAAGCCGGAGAACCTGGAGAGAACCCACGCTGCACGGGGAGAACATGCAAACTCCACGCAGAAAGATCCTGGGTGTCCTCACTGTAATGCGAACCGGGGACCTTGTAGCTGCGAGGCAGCGGTGCTGCCCACCGAGCCACAGCCCAGCTTCAAAGTCAGAAATCCAAATCCAGCATGTTTTAAGTAGCAACTTTACTTTTCACCAATAGATGTTTTAAGTCATTATATCAATAATTATAAAGTCATGGGGGGCTGGAGTCTATCCCAGCTGACTTAGGGCGAAGGCAGGGGACACCCTGGACAGGTCACCAGTCTATCACAGGGCTACACTTAGAGACAGACAACCAAGCACACTCACATTCACTACAGTATAGAAATGAGCCTAGTAAACATACACTGTACATTAAGTCAGCGAGAGTAAAACACATCACAGTTATCTCTGCAGGAAATGAACAGCTGTGTAAGTAAAACTCCTTATCATGTTTGCCACACATTAGTCCCAAACAGGGCTGCAAGGTGGCGCAGTTGGTAGCACTGTTGCCTCGCAGCAAGAAGGTTGCCGGTTCGCGTCCCGGTGGGGGCACCGGAATCTTTCTGCGTGGAGTTTGCATGTTCTCCCCGTGCCGCGTGGGTTCTCTCTGGGTTCTCCGGCTTCCTCCCACACAGTCCAAAAACATGTTGAGGTTAATTGGTGATTCTAAATTGTCCGTAGGTGTGAATGTGAGTGTGCTTGGTTGTCTGTCTTTAAGTGTGGCCCTGCGATGGACTGGCGACCTGTCCAGGGTGTCCCCTGCCTTCGCCCTAAGTCGACTGGGATAGGCTCCAGCCCCCCATGACCCTAGTGAGGATTAAGCGGTGTATAGATAATGGATGGATGGATAGTCCCAAACAGATAGTAGAATGGGAAGCTTGGTTAGCGGAAAAACTCAATTAACACTTAGGTTTTTTACAGTAAAACCAAGCCAAATAAAACCATCTGCTCTCCCTTTACTACCTGTCGCTCTATTCTGAAACATGTTTTTGCAAATCTAGACATGTCACAAGGTGTAGTTTTCCTCCTGACTTGACATTTTCAAGAAAAGTTGACATTTAACACTGGAGGGGTGGTTGACTTGTTTATAGCCACATTTTTTCTTATAATTGATAGTTAACAAGGGTGAGCAAGTTAACTGTCAACTTTGCTTTACATCCAAAGCTGTCATTCAGGATTCATCCCACTGTTCACCTCACACTTCATCTTGACTTGATGCTGTTGTCCTGCAGCCAAAAACTACAAACTGCCGCAGTAGTACACACATGCACACACATATTGTAAAAGCATAAAACCAAAACCCATTGACAAATACAGTTATGCAGCATGTAGACCTTTCCGTAGTTGGACCTGAGGGTGAAATTAGGCTTGTTTGGAGAAACAGCTGTTTCTGGTAATGGTTTGGGTTGGAGAGAATTGACTCCTGTCACACGTTTGAAATCCAATTCCATGCATGCAAAACCCGTCTGTTGTTGGACACATGTATCTGCCGCTTACTTGCACAGACATCCTCAATATTTGCTTATGAGTCAGTGTGTGTACATTCGTGTGGGTTTGTGTTGTTGTCTTTGCTTTTTGACGTCAGTACAGCCCAGACGAAAGGCTGTGACTACCGCACCTGCCTGAGGCTGATAACAAATCAAGAGATCACTTTCCAGGTGTCGACATCAAAGCAAAGTGAAAGGGCGTAGTGATTTATGGAATAGACAAGTTTTAAAAAATTGAAATATTTGTTAGGTGATGCATTCGAGCTGGCATAGTGGTGGGAGTGCAGTTGCGTAGAAGCAGCGTGTGTGTCTCTTTTGTGGTTGTTCTGTAGGACAGACACACATACACACTAATAATTTGGAAAGAATGCAACTGTTTTACTCACATGCTTGGCATCTCTGTGATTCATCAATAAAATGGAGAAGAAACCACACAAATAAAACAAATTATCAAACTTAACCCTCATCAATTCATTAACCTGAAGCAGAATCAATATTTACACTACAGTAACACAGAGCACAGTGTTTCTGTTATGTTGTATTGAGTAATGTCTGCTGCGGCTGAAGTTTTACTATTATGGTTTTCAACTAACGCACTGTGTTTTTTGATTAATCCGTTCATCATTTGTCCATAAAATGTCAAAACATACTATTAAATACCCATAAAAAATGATCATGCCTTGTTGTAATGTCTTTATAATGCTATCAACTGTGGTTTGATCGGCTGTCAAAAAACAAAAAAGCCCATTTAATTTAAAATGATGTAAAATCAGAAAAGCGGCAAAGCAGCTTTTCTGTCTTCTCTTGTTTCTTCTCTTCTGATTCGGGGTTGTGATGACCTTTAGCGGTTTGTTTTCCTTGGTGTCAGGTACCTATGTGAATCAGCGTCATTAGATTGCAGTAATCGCTTCACTGCTTTGCTCATCATCGCGGATACAAAGAGTGGCTCTGTTTGGTCGTCTGTATCTAAAGCTGTGGTTTGATTATTGGCACCAGACCTGAACATGCCAGAACATCACTGGCGTTTATCTGGAAAGCAAAGTTTCCTAAATGCTTAGAGGACAGAGTCACACACGATTAGGAGAGGCTTGTGTATTGATGGTAAATGTGTCAGTGATCCAGTTACACAGCCTGTATACAGAAACACCAAATAAACAACTGATGCATACTACACTCACACATACTCAAATCGGCACTCAATCCAGCTCAGTCCAGGAGGTTGGTGTTTCTAATGAGACCAGTCCAGACTCAGTGATGTGTGGTTCTCCTCTCTGATCACACACACATGAGACAAAATGCTTTTGTCAATTTAAACTAGACAACCCTGGAACTGGATCAATTCACATCTGTGTGCATCGCAGTTTTGTGCATATGCAGTTCAAAGTACTTTAGGGGTTCTGAAAAATATGACAACTAAACACTAAAGACAGAGACACAAAGATATCAAAGTAAACTGAGAACAGAACCAAACTGTATGATACAAAATAAGTATGACAGTGTTCGACTGGCTTGTTTTACAGTAAATGAATGACGTAAGTCTGATCAGCAGGGTGGCTGTGATGTTCTTTCTGTGCAAAAATACTCGTAAGCGTAATCTTGTTTCGAGAAAGCCATGGGGACACGAATCCTAAGGTTGTATAGGATATGACTTGTTTAAATGCCCTATACCTGTGTTTTCATACTGTATGTTTAGCCCATAATCTGTAGAGATGAATGGCACCTCTGGGTCTGAAAAGTGAAGCCAATGTAGAAGTGCCTTAAACCTGCATTCTAACTAATGTCCATCAGGGGGCGACTCTTCTGGTTGCGAAAAAAAAGTTCAGTTGTATAGAAGTCAATGAGAAAACCACACAACTTCTCCTTTGATTTTTTACCTCAGTAAACACTTTTCTAATGAGTTTATGGTCTCAGTCGCTAGTTTCAAAACTTTTTGAACACAGCATGGTGTTCATTTTGTAGGTTTATGTCAGAGCAAAATAAACAAATAAACATGTTCTGTTTTAGGGTGGGGCTACCTTGTGATTGACAGGTCGCTACTGTGTCGCCATGTCCTTGAGTTCTGAGTCAAAAATGGTTTTGAAACTTAGTATTAGAAAAGAACGAGGACAATGGCCATATTTTAACTTGAGGCTTCAGAGCAGTAGTCTACAAATCAATGGGTGATGCACTGTTTATTTTTCATTCTTCTGAGAGTCATTATTATTTTTTAATTTCCTATGAGTTGAGGGCGAAAACCCTAACTACCCAGGGGCCAGTAAAAAATTCCTCTGTCTTTGAGGACTTTTAAGACTTTGTGTTGTATTTTTTTTAGAAATAAACGCTAAAATATGAAGCACTAATGTGTTTTCTGTCTTTCTTTCTCTTTTGTGTCTTTCTTTTTGTTGTTCTGTTTATGTGCATCTCTAGTTGTGAACCAGGAGGGACAACCTTTAATTGAAGGGAAGCTAAAGGAAAAGCAGGTCCGCTGGAAGTTTATTAAGCGCTGGAAAACCCGCTACTTCACCTTGGCAGGAAATCAGCTACTCTTCCGGAGAGGCAAATCAGTACGTAAGCAGTAAAAATGACGCCTCCTCACACAAAAACACACACTCAAACACTGATGTACACAGACGTACTGTCCCAGTCCTCCATCAGAAAATTGTCATTATTACTTTCCTGTTCCGTGTCATTTGCAAAATGATGAAACTCTGCATGAAACAGTGGAAATCCCATCTCGTGATAAGTTCAACTTTCCCATAGGACAATCTGGTGAATCCAACTATAGCAAGCCTTGGCCGCGGTAAGGACTCTTGGGGGACTCCCAAGGCCAAAGCGTGATGCTGCAACAACATGAGTCACTCTCCCCCACTGTAACTCAAAGCAGATATAATTACGCACAAGTAGCAAACACAGCGAAGGAGGAACAGCCTCGTACGCCATGTGTGAGTAACAGAAAGACTGAATATTCTCATTTGAGCAACAGAAAGGAGATTTCCCTCGCGACTACAACACAGTTTTTCCTCAAATCTCCCTGTGTTTGCTGGTGACTTACCGTAAGCTTGATGAAAGGCTGAGGATGCTGAAGAGAGAATTACTGCACAAAGGAAACGTTTGCTTAATCAAAAACACAGACCAAAAGCAGCATCACAGAAAATGTGTTGAGGTCAAGTTTGATTTTATCCAGCTGATAAAATAATTTATTTTTTATTTTATCAGCTCATTTCATGAGAAAATCATATTTATTTAACTACACCTGTGATCGTTCATATTTTCATTGTAGTTCATGGCATCAGCCATCTGCGCAAGAGAAACTGTCATAATTATAATATTTTTTATAGCCAACACCAGATTGAGTGTCCTCTGGGTGTTTAGACAGACTCATGTTTATACAATCAGCTCCTCAAAACTAGAGAAAGGCACAACCTCACAGTGGAGTATCTGGAACCATGGGAATATTCAGTGGTTGAAATGCAGAAAATAGAGTTAAGCGCGCTCTCTTTTTTTTTTTTTTAAATCCAAACAATAGTCTTTGTGCTCCTATCCAGATGGTAATGGATTCTGCTGTTTTGCAGCAGCCACAGATTGAGAAGGTTTTGTGTCTTTGTTTTCAGAGCTCAGTCTGTCTTTGCCAGCGTGTTCTGGAGGTGGTTGGTATGTTGTGAAAGACCTTTCTCCCCAGTGGCGTGTAAGATTAAGAACCAAGAAATGTTTTCTTTCCATCATATTGAGTGATCGAGAAACTTTGACAGTTATTTCCATGAGCATTTAACTAGTAGATAAAATATGTCTAAAAAAGATTTCTCTACATTGTAGGTTATAGCTGATCTGCAGTGTTTCCTCCGCTGAATATTGCATTTTCTCCCTAATTGTGAACAGACAAAGAGTGATGCCAAACTACAGGAAGGACTTGAATTCAGCTTGGCAAGTCCTCATGCTGAACTTTAGACAGAGATGGAGAAAGATCCTGAACATATGATAATAAAATGGGGGCATTTGGTGTATTTACATTCTCCCACAACTTTGCATTACCTGAACTGTATTCATGGTACAATAGCTGGGATATGTAGATATTAGCTTACATATGTATACACCTACCAAACAAGTAGAATTTGTTTTCTGTTTGTGATCCTGAAATTTGTTGAATGTCACTTCCAACCTTCCAGGCAGCTTTGAGTTTCCATTTATTTCATTGTTAAAACTGGAGTAGGCAGAAATCTAGAAAAGGCAAACAACAAAATGATAAATACAGGCCTTCTCCTGCAGCCTTTCCATCTCTGTCCTAAGCTGCTCCTTCTGTCATTGAATCAGGCTTTCCATCATCTCAGAACATGGTGAAAAGAGCATCTCCATTTGTAGAGCAGCCAGTAAGACTGGCTTCTCTCTGAAGATGCCTGCCAAAGTCTCCCATTACGCACTAAGTTTATAAATCCTGAAACCTGAGCCAAGAGGAGGTGCAGAAGTCAGGTTTCTTCTCAGACCACTTGGATTACAATATGTTAAAGGGTTATAATAGAACTTTTGCGCTTAAAATAACATAACATAATAGCGTAACGCTTAAAAATGACTGCCTACCCCAGCTTTAGGACACACAAAACTTCTTTTTTCATGAGGTTAGACATACAGTAAATGTGTTTTTGCTTCTTGTTTTTGGTTAATGTAAGCTATCACTTTGTTGTAGTGCATTCACTTGCTCCAATGTCCAGCATTCCGTCTATTTATAAGCTAATTTGTCAGAAAGTCTGTGCACAAGAGACACAAAAAAGCAAACATGTGCATCATGGAGAAAAAACACGATTTGACAGAACATAAATTACTCTGTTCAGCAGCCAAGCATTACTACTGTACTGTTCTGTCAGTGCCAAAATGTAAAATAAACTCCCTTATGTCAGCGCACAAATATAATTATATATTACAATAACATGAAGACAAATGCTCTCGCTGCCTCAGTGAATGTAGACACTAATATGTCAGTCTCACTAAACACTGTCTTCTTACTTGCACGATTGCCTCCTAAATTGTGAATTGTCAGATGCAGTGAAAGAATGAATAAGTTACACTGAAGGAACAAAATATTAGCAATACTAACCCTATCCTACCAGTCATACAGATTTAGCAAGAAATTAGAGAAGGGTGCTTGACTTATGCATTAATAGAAGTATTTTGAGACAGTATCTCAACAGACTTTCTAGATAATATAAAATCATCTCACCATGTAGCTAAAGTCAATCAAATGTCTGTGCTCAGCAGGGAACAGAACCTCCACACGGCTGTCCGGGAGGTAAAACCGTGAATATTTCTAATCTAAATAAATGCTTTGTAACACACGTACACACTCCAGAAGGATGTGGGCGCTTGCTGTGGGTCATCTTGCAGCTCGCTCTGGTTATGCGGCTAGAACCACTATGGGGTACAAGGACATGGCTCTGCTGCAATATACACACGACAACACCTTCCCACAGTTAGTTGGGTAAAACAAAGACATGATGTCCTGCCGAGCTGAAGGATTTCATTTCCTGCTCTGGAGAAACAAAAGAACAATAATGTGTAATTGTTCATTGTGCAAATGGTTTGTTCTGAGGTAGCAAATACGGGAAACAACACGAGGAAACACTATTGTTCTCCTGAAATGAAGAGGACACATGTGGCACTGAGGCAACAGGAGGTCATTCATATGCTGAAAAGGGTTTTTAACGTGACCAGATTTGTTTTTACGTACTAATTTGAATCGCTTTAAAGAAAAAACGTTACACTGAAAAACATCCCCCATGGAGAAAACGTTTAGCAAGTGTCATCGCTGTTCTTTCAGATGAACTTGGTGTCTGAGTTCCTGAATTATGAAACATTGTATGATAGAGTCCTGACATTGCTTCACAGGTTAGATTTATCTTCAGCTTTTATTTTGTCCATATAACTGATAATTACCAGTGTAAGTACAATTCTAAGCACTGTACCTAAGTGTAATGTTGAGGTACTTGCACTTTACTTATGCTTTTTTGAAGCTACCTTATAGTTTGACTCCTACATTTCAGAGGGTAATACTATACTTTTTCTGCACCATATTTATGGTCACTATCTGTCCTCCCCACAGAAAGACGAGCTGGATGACATCCCTATTGAGCTGAGCAAGGTGCAGAGTGTCAAGGTGACTGAACGTTTCCATCTTTTGCAGAATCATTTTAATCTTCACTATTAATCACATGTTTTTGCATTATTTGTGCATGACCTGGTTCCATAGCTGTGCTCTCTAAGTTTCCTTTTCAGTGTTGTCATTTTAAAGCTATTTATATCATCTGATCACGTTACACTGTTGTGTAGGAAGGTTCAAATACTCCCCAGTCAGAGTTTACATAATTCAAGAAGGCAGATCACATCCCTAAATACTACGAGGCGGATTACATTTCAGCTGAAGACATGGATTATTCTACAGGATGAAAGATGGAGGCCAAGTTACATCAATCTCAAAGATGTCAGCAGCAGCTTTCCCCTGAGAGACAGATGCTTAGAGTTTGTCATCTTCTCTCGCCTCCTGATGAGGATCTTTCTTCTTTTTCCGTAGGTGGTGGCCAAGAAGCGTCGGGATCGGGGTCTGCCGCGGGCCTTTGAGATCTTCACCGACAGCAAAACGTACGTGCTGAAAGCTCAGGATGAGAAACATGCTGAGGAATGGCTGCAGTGCATCAACGTGGCTGTGGCTCAGGCCAGAGAGAGGGAGAACAGAGAGGCCACCACCTACCTGTGAGAGCAGCACAGATGCAGAGCTACATTTATTATATCGGATGGGCTTTTTTTTTTTTTTTTTTTTTAATACACTGCCACCGAAACCGACAGGGAAAAAAAAAAAAGAACATCGCAACAAACCTCGAGGAGGAAAACACACACTGCCAGTAGCACTTCATATCTGTAATCAGTGGGATACAACTTCATCTTACTGATAATGGAGCACCATTAAGAAATAAACACTTGTTATGCAGTATTTTTAGAACTAAGACTTATTAAACCAGCATATAAAGACTCTTGACATGTGTATCGAAGTATACTGACTCCCTGTACTTGCTGTTACATCCCACCATGGACCTGCTGATGTGTAATACATCCATCATCAGTGATTATACGCGAATGTTACACAGTACACATGTTAAAGATCTAAGTTATGTTTTAAGATGTTCACCTGACTGGACCAAACAGTACGGAAACTTAAATTTAGACTCTGCTTCGAACAAGCAAACAAAACCAGCATCTGCAGACTCCTGGGATTTCTGAACTTAATGATGCATGATGACTGACTCGTATTTGAGTCCAGAGTCGTATTTAGCAATAAAGACTAAATAGAAGCACAGACCTCGAAAGGACTTGTAACAGTAATGAGACTGAAGGGTTCCCTTTAGAAAGCAGGAAGGATGAAGAGGAGCCTAATGGACAGCAGATGGGACGGCCATTCGATTCTGGAATACTATGTGTGTGTGTATGTGTGTGAGAGAGAGAGAGAGAGACAGAGACAGAGAGACAGAGAAACCGTGTGGTCTTAAAGGAATAGTTCAACATTTCAGGAAATACAAGCATTCACTTTCTTGCCAAGATTTACATTAATGCATATGAAGCTATAGCCAGAGCAGAGTTACCTTAGCCCTTAACCTTTGGCAAGAAAATGAAATATGTTTCCCAGAATGTCAAACTATCCCTTTATGTATGTTGTGTTTTCATGTAGGACATGGATGTACATAATTAATCCCACGTGTTGAAATCGTGTTGTATTGTGTATTTTGTTTCATATTGTATTTTCATTACTAACAAACCTAACGAAAAACTTTTGGCCCCATTTTCTCTTTCTGCTTTTGTACTAAACAAATGAAGCAAGCTTCGGTCCGTCGATCAGATTTCTGTTCTTTTGCAATCTCGGTCGTGTGCAGACCGGGATATTTCTGGCTTTCCCCAACAAGAAAGGTCTGCAACAATTCACTCTGTATTTTAAGAGGCACAATGTCAGTTCTACTGTTGCTTAATATTGGAGTTTAGACCACAGGTTTCTAAGAGAAATCACAGAAGTAAATGAGTGGTTTCCTTGTGGATTTAGAAACTTTGCCAGTTAAGTCAAAGTGATTTAGAGGATTGGTTGAAAGGTTTTGTGTCGACAGCCATAGACTTGAAGGTGAGCACCCTTATTTTAAAACAAGCGCTTTTCTAACAGTTTACAAGCTTGTGTGTTTTGCGGTCTTCGGAGACTGGATGAAGTAGATTTGAGCACATTCTTGAGAGTTCAGTCAGAAAGCTCTCATCTGCATTACAACTCATTTCTACAATCTTCACCTGAAATATATCAACCTGTGACAGCGCCTCTATGGAACACTGTGACTCCCTCCTGTTATTCACTTACAGGGAAGCAGACGACAAACGTCTTGACCCAGTTAGGTTCTGAACCTCCAGCACCAGACAAGCGTTCATGGTTGGCCGTGGCGAATCAATTATTTTGCATGGTGTCTGATTTTGATGTTTATCTGGATCCACATCAGAGGTATGCGGCTGCCCACAGGTGAACGCCTCCTTGGCACTGAATGCTTTTGGTTAAATGTATAAAATTCAAGGTTCTGAATATCTTCAAAATGCCTAAGGTGGTCTCAATTTGAACTCGTGTGACAGACAAGCAAATTCTCTTTGGTCTCAGGTTGTCCTACAGCTATAACCCTGTCAGCTGTGTCCATGCAGTCATAACACAGTCTTTCCCACTGGGTCAGGTTACTGCTGTTTGTACTTTTTTGCAGTCTCTGTGCCTCCCCTCCTACACGGCACAACTGACCTGCATCTGCTTACACATAATATTATTTACACCATGCCTCTCCTCCAAAATTGAATTCCCTCCTTGCTCCTTATTTTAGTTTAATGACCTACATACACAGCTGGCTATGCACCCCTTAAGTCAGGGGGATTTTCCACTATGACTGCATCGAGAGGCTTTATAAAAAGCACCATAATTAAAACAAACATTTTGTAGCCTCGCTAGTAGTGGAGGGGTGTACGTATGGCAATGTCTCAGCAAACATTTCATGGATTGAGGTGAACTTTGATACATTTGATGCTCAGTCTTTGGGTATTTGATTACTTTTTCTTCAGTGCCCAATGGAAGATTTATAATCTAATTGAATTGGGTACAGACGATCATGTCCCGCTCATGATAAACTTTTCATGTTGCTTCATTGTCTGGTAAAAATGTTTTTCTCTCCACTGTTTGGTTTTAGCATGCTGCAACACGGTACATTTAATAGTGAACAACATGCCTGCTAAACATCAGTATGTTAATACTGTAAACCTGTTGGTGTGCTGGCATCGTCATTTATCTCAAAGAACCTCACAGTTCACAGAGACACCAGCCACACTCGTTCATCCCAAAGTGAACAGATCCATCTAAAACACTTGATTTCTAACGCAGAGCATCGTATATGATATTATACTGTATATTAGTATAGTACTCTGTTATGACAAGCAATTGTTAAACCACAAGTGTGGAACTTTTGTCTCCTCCTTCTGGCAGTCAAAGTAATCACACAAACACTGTTGATGTGATAATGTCATTGTTAAACTTTCATCTCCCCTCTGAGCAGCATTTTTGTTTCCATCTGAAGCATCATAAACTTTTCTTGGATGCCTCCTAGGTTTTTCCACCACAGGCCTTGTTATACTCCTAGGTCTGTCTCCATCGCTACTCTTGCGCCACTCTTCAGCTCTGGAAAACCGGTCATTGCCAGTTGATGCATAAAATGCATTGCAACTGGTGCACCAGCATGGAAATCATCAGAGACCCCATTTTTACTGTGGTGCTTGAAAGTGAACTTCGTTTTCTATGTTTCTGCGAAAATGTGACCCAAAGCCAGATTTTCATGGAAGTACTAAAGCAGATGGAGAACACAAACAAGTGTTACAGTTATTATACTTGGTCATTTATTTATTCAGGAAAATGATCCCGTGTTACATATCTGTCAGTGGCAAAGGTTTGTGAACCTTTCAGGCACTTTCAGCATCTGGTGTGACCCTGTTGTGCAACAATAACTGCAAGTAAACATTTCTAGTAACAGTTGATCAGTTCTGCTCATGGGCTTTGAGGAATTTTAGTTAATTCCTTTGTACAGAACAGCTTCAGCTCTGGGATGTTGGTGGGTTTCCTCACCAACACTGTTTTCCTTCCTCGAAACATGACGCTTCTCATTTAAACCATAAAACCTCTATTTTGGTCTCATCTGTCCAACAAAACACTTTCCAAAAGCCTTGTGGCTAGCCCGTATGATCTTTAGCAAACTGCAGATAGACAGCAGTTTGTTTTTTTTGTGGACAACAGTGGCTTGGCTCTTGGAGTGATCTTTGTTGGAGGATCTCTCCTGGGCAAAGCAACAATGATCTAGAATTTCATCCATTTGTACACAGTCTGTCTGACTGTGTGTGATTGGAGGAGTCCAAACTCTTTAGGGATGTTTCTGTAGCCTTTTACCGCCTGATGAGCATCAACATCTCTTTTTCTGAGGTCCCTAGAAATCTGCTTCGACTGGGCCATGACACACTTGCACAAACATGCATAGTGAAGCTCAGACTTTGATAGATGCTTCTCTTTAAATAAGACAGAGCATCGTCTTACACCTGATTGTTGTCTCGCTGATTGGAAACACCAGACTCTCATTTCACCGTTAATATAACTGCTGACTTTCACATACTTTATGTAAAACTGAATCATTTCTCTCAATATACAGAAGACAAAGTACAATATTTTTATCGTATTAAAATTGTGTCTCTCCTTCTGCTCTTATATGGAAATCTGATGACGTTTTAGGTCACATTTATGCAGAAATGGAAAAAATTCTAAAGGCTTCACTAACTTCCAAGCACCACAGTAAAACTACAACATACAGAGAGACTGACCTGGCACTGATGGGCTTAATCAGCATTGTGTGAACTCCCTTGGAAACGGCTTGAATGTAACGTTGAATGTAATGTTCATTTATATGTACAAGTCCCACGCTCCAGCTCGAAATCCGCTCCGCCATATGTTGCATAGCGAATGTACAATGAAGCTGACTTTGCTGTTTTTCGTTGCACAATGTTGATTTCTCTGTGTTTGAAGTAAATGTCTGATGGTATGAATGTCAAAGTTGTCTAAAAGTAGCAATGTGAGTCTCTGTGCTGTCACGCTGCCACGTTGGCCTCGTTCCCAGACCTCTGCGGCCAATTTGTTTGTTAGTGGAAAGCTGCAGTGATTGTTTTTAGGGTACTTTCCTCATCATAAAATACATTTGTTGGCAGCTGTGTAAATATTCCACAGAATAAATACT